TATCAGTTCTTTGTGGGGTGCAATTCAGTTCCTTTTTGTGGGGTGCAAATCAATTCCATCTGGTGGGGTGCATACCCATTCTTTGTGGGGTGCAACTCAATTGGTGGAGTGCAATTCAGGGAAGGCTCTTCCGTCGCTCACTCACCCCCCCTCTCTGCTCTCTTCTCCCCTCCCCTCCCCCCCCCCTCCAGATTACCAAGGCGATTACTACGGCCCCGGGAGCAACTACGACTTTTTCTCGCACGGCCCCCCCTCACAGGCCCAGTCGCCGGCCGACTCTGGCTACATCCCGACTTCGGGGGCCGGCTCCACCCCGCTCGGGCCTCTGGATGCCCCCTTGGCTGGACACCACACCTCGGAGAACCAAAGGTACACGGATATGATCTCTCACTCCGACACGCCCAGCCCAGAGCCGGGGCTGCCCAGCTCGCTGCACCCCATCCCGGGAGAGGTCTTCAGCGGGGGTCCTAGCCCTCCTTTCCCCATGTCGGGGTACAGCGGGCCCCTCTCGCATTCCAACCAGGAGCTGAGCGAAGCGGCCGTCTGGTAGAGCGCCCAGAAGTCGGGGTACAAGGAGGGGGGGGGGCGCTGCACTTCCAGACCTTCCCCTCCAAGCCTCAACTCGGACCGAGCCCTTTTCCCCCACCCGGAGGGGGGGAAAGGGGGCTTCCCTCAGAGCCGCTCCAGGACCGCTGCCTTGCCCTCGAGTGGGCCCGCTTGAAAACCCCGGTAAGGGACCGTGGGAAGCGGCCGTCAGCTGCCAACCTCCCGAGAGTCCCTTCCATTCTTTTGGACCAAAGTTCCTGGTTTTGCAGACTGGAGGGTGGGGATTTTGGAAGGTGTGTTGGGGGGGGAGATGAGGGTGGGGGCCTGGCTTCCACCCCCCCTCTCCAACTGGCTAGCCCCCCCCATCCACCCCCCCCATCCAGGATAGTGGGTTCAGTTTTTAGTGTTCCTTTAAAAGAAAGAAAGAAAGAAAGAAAGAAAGAAAGAAAGAAAAATTGGGGGGGAAAGAAGACGACGCACCCCCAAAAAAGCAAATTGGAAATTTTTGGTTCGCTTTGCTTTCGTTTTTCTCCGGATTCGGACCCCAAAGGAAGGAAGGAAGGAGAAAGAAAGAAAGAAAGAAAGAAAGAAAGAAAGAAAGAAAGAAAGAAAGAAAGAAAGAAAGAAGATGAATTTCTGTGAATTAGGAGGCTGGTTTGATTGACAGAGTGAAGAGGGGAGGGGGGAGAAGAGCTGGAGTGGGTTGTTTTGGGTTTTTTTGGCTGGTCACGTGGCGCCCCCTGGTGGTCGGTGCTTGGAATGACACGCCAGACTTCTTCAAAGGCCCCTTCAAAAGACAGATTGGCGAGGGTGTTTTGGTTTTCTTTGGCTGGATTAATTAATTAATATTATTCTAATATTATTCTTTATTTTTATTGGGGAGGAAAGACGACGCCCCCACCCCCTGATGACCAATAACAGCAAATGTTTTAAAAAGAGAGAGAGAGAAAAGCAAATAATTTGAAGATGGTAAGGACCGTTTGCACCAAACTTTGCTGGGAGGCTGTTCGAGGATGTATTATAGGGTTTTTTTGCTCCTAGTTTCTTTATTTTGTATAAAGAAGAAACAAATAAAGTATGTTTTTGTGTTTATTTGATTATTTATTATATCCAGAATCTCCAGGGGCAGAACGAAATGAATGGGAAATGCATGCTGAATTGGTATAAGAAATGACAAAAATGGTCCTACCTAAATAATAACAAAAAAAATATTACATTTTTTAAAGCTGTTATTTCTCTGAAAAAATGCCTGGACTGAATACAAGAAGAAATGGAATCAAATCTTCAATATGGTCTCACACACCAGCCTAAAGGATTCAACTAACAATCTGTGGACTTCAACTCCCAGAATTCCCCAACCAGCCACAGGAGTTGAATTCTGGGAGTTGAAGTCCACAATTCTTAAAAGTTCCCATGGTTGGACAGACCCTCTGATGTAGGATGTCAGATGTAGCACCAGAATCTTGAATCAGATTTGGACAAATTCTGGCAGACACTGGAAATTTTTTTTCATCCTGGCTGGGGAATTCTGGGAGTCGAAGTCCACAATTCTTTAAGTTGCCATGGTTGGACAGACCCTCTAAAGTTAGGGGTGTTAAGAAAGTTCTAAATTGCTTTTCTCCTTGATTAGTTTCTACCTGTTGCTTCTTGTCCTGCCTGTGGGTGCTTTGGAGAATAACAGAGTTGCAAGGGGTCTTAGAGATCTTCTAGCCCAACCCTCTACTCAAGCAGGAGTCTAAACCATCCCAAACAAATGGCTGTCTGGTCTCTTTCTAAAAACCTCCAGTGATGGAGCATCCACAGCTTCTGAAGGCAAGCCATGAACTGGGGAATCTTTGCTGCTGTTGGGATCCTAAACCATCACATTTTCAAAAAAAAATATTCTAGGAAATTACGGGCCGCCTGAAGCTGCAGGAATGGAGCCAATAGCTGGATCGATCTCTCGAATCAAACACGACCAGTTCAAAAAGGAATTGCCAATCCCGGATTTCACTAATCCAGTCTTGGTCACCACACTATAAAAATATATATATGCTGAGACTCTAGAAAGAGGGCAGAGAAGAGCAACCAGGATGATGAGGGGATGATTGGAGGCTCAAACCTGCGATGAACGGTTGCAGGAACTGGGCCTGGCTGGTCTAGGGAAGAGAAGGACCAGGGGAGACAGGAGAGCAGTCTTCCAATATTTGAGGGGCTGCCACAGAGAGGAGGAGGGGGTCAAGCTATTTCCCAAGGCCAAACAAGGAATAATGGATGGAAACTGACCAAGGAGAGATTCAACCTGGAAATGAGGAGGAATTTTCTGACAGTGAGAACAATCAACCGATGGAACAGAAGTTGCCTTTGGAAGTTGTGGGAGCTTCATCCCTGGAGGCTTTCAAGAAGAAACTGGACTGCCATCTTTCAGAAATGGTGTGTAGGGTCTCCTGCTTGGGCAGGGGGTTGGACTAGATGACCTACAAGGTCCTTTCCAATTGTTAAACTGTAATCTGTTATCTAATCCAGCCCCAATGCAAATATTACACCTCCCTGCTTGGCCCCAAGGGTCCCTTTGTTGTTCTGAGCTCTGGGTGACGAATAAATGGGTGACGAATAAATTTAATACATACAGGTAGTTCTTGGGTTACATCATCCGAGCAAGTTCTCTTAAGCCCCCTTCCCCCCCCCGCAAGCCAAAAGCTGTAGCAGCGACGGGAGAGAACTGTCATAATTAAAAATAATTATGACAATGATGCAGGCAGACAGTAGCAAATAAGTGAATCTAAGATGGCGGGCTTGCTAATTGCAGTGCAGGGTTGCCGTCAAAACAATGCGACTGTGGGTAAATATGGACGGGGGCGAAATAATAATCGTATGCAAACAATGCAGGAGTTAGCCCCGGGGGCGAGAGAGAAGGCGGGAGACGGAGCAGTTATTTAAAGAAATATAAATCAACATTGAAGTAAGCCTGCCGAAGAATGCTCCCGTAGAGGAGACGTTAAGAAGCAAGGCGGAAGTTTCCCCCACCCCTCCAATTATCCGTTTTACAATTGCCCTGTGCTATGGGCGATGAATAAATTTAATAAAATTTATGGGTGACGAATAAATTTAATACATACAGATGGTTCTTGAGTTACATCAGTTCATGTAGTGACTGAAGTTACGACGACACTGAAAGAAAGCAACTTAGGGCTGCTTTTCACACTTAACGGCCATCGTGGCATCAAACTTCAGATGCTTGGCCCCTGACTTGTGCTTAGGACAGTTGTACCGCTTGTCCCGCTTTGCCATGGCGAGGTTGGGTTCCCTTGTGGTCATAAGCCGAGGATGACCTGTACTCAGGAATGGACTGCTTGTGGGTGCACAGGGGAGAGTCCCCTAGCTAAGATTCTGTGCAGTTCGGAGAAACCCCCAAATTCCACTCCGGGCTGGCCCCGCCTACCCCCCCTCTGCCCCCCTCCCAGGAGTCCCCACCTGGCTCGTTTTGGATGCAGGTAAGTGCAGGTGGGCATGCGGAGGCTTGGAAGTTCAGGAAGGCCAAATTTGGGCCTGTTTTCAGCTTCCAAAGAGCCTCTGGAGCACGGGGGGAGGCCGTTTTCGTCCTCCAGGAGGCTCGAGAAAAGCCTTCGGAGGGCAAAAATGTGTTCAGGAGGCCGACTAGGCCACGCCCACCATGGCCACGCCCAGCCAGCAATTGGGCAGAGAACCCCTTGCTAAAAATTTTGGAGCCCACCCTTGTTGAGAATGCAATCCTACCTAGTGGCAGATATTTATCTCCTCAAGCAGCAAAGGAAAAAATAAATAAATCTGCTGTGAACTCCAGCTAGGCTTCAGGAAGGGCATCTGGCCAGTAAATGCTCAGCTCCATCCTGTTATCCCAATTTTTACCCCAAAATGGCTCTGATTAAGTATCTTATCTAGAGGAGTGGTTGAGAATCGTGTGTGCCTGTAAAACACGGGACTTCATTTCATGCCCAGGTGTTTCTTCATAGCTTGGAGACCCTGCAGGCTGATCCCACTCCCCCCGCAGACGACAATCACGATGGAATCCAGGCTCTCGCTGAGCCTGCCTTCTTTCTGCAGCTTCCGGAGGTTGCCCGAATACAAGAGAGCCAGCGAAGCGCCACAAGCGGGGTCCACCAAGATCCGTTCATCGTCTGAGAAAGAAACAAGAAGCCAGGCGCTCGATCAGGGAGTTGGAAGCGAAGGGCGTCCCTCAGGGTAGCATGTCAGGGCAGCCAATCAGAAAAGCCGAAAGAAAGGGTCCAACCAAGCCTGCAAGGGCAGCCAATCACAAGGTGGGAGGTCCGAATTCTAGGGCTTCCAAGATGGGTTTTCTGCCCGGTTGTCGAATTGTATGCCCTCTTTACAGAATAGAAGATAGAATAACAGAGTTGGAAGGGACCTTGGAGGTCTTCTAGTCCAACCCCATGATTGAGCAGGAAACCCCGTATCCGTGGTGGGATTCAAATGTTTGTACGACCGGTTCTGTGGGCGTGGCAGGGGAAGGATCCTGTAAAATCTCCAGAGGCAAAATATGGAGCGCAGGTGGTGCACAAAAAAGAAAGAAAAAAGGAAGAAGCCACGCCCACCTAGTCACATGGCCAAGCCCACCTGGCCACAAAACCGGTAGTAAAAATATTCACATCCCACCCCATGGTTTGGGACAATCCTGACCGGGATGATTGAGAATCTCCGTAGACATTCTGAATGAAGGCAATGACAAGCCATCATATACTCTCTTGCCCACCCAAAAATATCTCTCCATGAAGTCACCGGAAGTCACCCTTCAATTGAAGGAGACGACCTTGTATGAACAGATCAATGAAATATGAAATCTATATGAATAGATCTATGAAATAGGTGGTATCTAGCAAAGTCTGGACATGTTGATGGAGTCAACCACAGGAGGTGCCCAATGAATTATCTAGAGTTGATTGTCTCTCTTTGGGTCTCAAAACATCCACCTGTTCTGAACTCAGCTTCCTCCCAAAGCACCAAGCAGACTCTTTGTCCCGGCAAAACCCCTTTTATTAAACAAAGGTGAATTTCTTAGCATTCACATTCAGCCAAAGGCCTGGCCAACAGTCTTTCAAGGGTGTAATGAAGAGCCCAGACCTCATGTACCTTGGAGAGCGGCCAAGTAAATATTTCCAAATGCAGTGCTGACAAGGAAGGGCTCGGCACAGCGTCTCTGTGATGCACAGACAGATCTTCACTTTGCTGCAACGAACGAATTGTTTCCTGCAAAAGCCCCCTCTCCTTTTGCTCCTCTTTTAATCCCTATGGGAGGGGCCATTCACCATAGCCCTGAGCCTTTACTCCCAAGTCGACCCTTGTTCCTTAGCTGGTCCCTTCTTCTGGCAGCTCTGCGCATGCGCACACTAGGAACAGGCTCCAGCTTTTCTTCTGCCCCACTGATCTCTGATTTCAAAGGCAGCTGATAATTGCCAGCCTGCCCTGGCCCCCATCTCTGTCTCTGACGCAGAGCCCTCGTCCGAGCCTTCCTCACCCTCCACGACTGGCCTAGGTTCCTCCCCGACCTCCTCACTGCCCGACTCTTCTGCCAGCTCCACCAGCCACTGCCGGGCCACACCACCACCCAACCTCCTAGCCCCATCTCTCAGAGCCAACCTCCCGTACTCACCCAGAAATTGCTCTACAGCTTTCACAGCTTCCACATCCTCCAGAACATGAGAGATGATTGGGCATTCGTTGGTACAATCTAAGGCCCTCTGGGCCACCGTTTTAGCCCCAAGGCACCTGGCCACGCTGCAGAATGATAAGCAAAAGAAAGCAAGAAAGTTCGACTGCAAAGTTCAAAGCAAGGGTGGAATTCCCCCACGGTTTCTTCAAGTGTCTATTTCACTATTTTCCCTTCCCTCATGTCACAATTCAAGTTCACAGTTTGGAATGATAAGAATGCAAAATCCCTGAATGATCCACCACAGAAGCCAAGAAGGAAAGAGAATGGGTTGGAGCTCCCATGTGGATAATACAACAGAGCGATGCTGGCTGAGGGATTCTGGGAGTTGAAGTCCACAAGTCTTAAAGTTGCCAAGTGTAAGGAGCCCTGCAACAGAGGCACCCCAAATGGAGATCTCACCTCACAATCAGGAGGCTGTGATTTCAATCCTAGGAAGGAGCAAAGGAAGGAAGGAAGGAAGGAGAGAAAGGGAAGGGAAGAGAGGGTGGGAGGAAAAGTGAAAGGAAGGAAGGAAGGAAGGAAGGAGAGAAAGAGAAGGGAAAGAAGGGAGGAAGGGAGGAAAAGTGAAAGGAAGGAAGGAAGGAAGGAAGGAATGAAGGAAGGAAGGAAGGAAGAATTCTTCTACCATCTTGCAGTGAAGTTCAGCCCCAGACCAGAACATACCTGGTGATATCAGGCAAAGTGACCAGCAGACCAGCCTGGATGGCTGCATTAAAACTTTCAGCTCCTCTGGTCTCCACAGCAATGATGGGAACATCTGACCAGCCCACTTCCTGCAAACCGGAGACCACTCCGGCGAGAAGACCACCGCCTCCCACCGACAGCACCACAGCTCCTGGTTTGGTCCTTAGGGACCCCTTCAGCTCCTTGACAATGCTGCTGTGTCCTTCCCTGAAAGGAGAACAAACCCCCCAAGTCCTTGAAGGAGCTCCCCATAGTTGCATTGGGGGCAAAAGGTGTGCTCCTGGCTAAGGGTGGAGCAGACGACATCCCTAAATCCTATTTATTTATTTATTAGATTTTTATCCTGCCCGTGTTTACAAGCTGACAAACATACCTAGTACCAATTCAACTTACTGTCAACTCATAAAACATTCCTATGCCTGTTTTTAGTAGTTGCCATTAAAAAAAAAGAGAGAGGGGAGGAAGGAAATCTGGAAGAAGAGTTGAAAGTGAAAGTACATTCCTACTCTTCTCTTTAAAAGATTGTAACTAAACTACCGGAGCTTTTGCCTGGGAAAATATTTAATTGGGGAATGTGATTGATGACAGCCTGTGAGCGGACTTAATTGGAGAATCTGATTTATGACACACAAAGGGGGACGGGGGAACAGGGTCACAGGGGACTGTAAATCACGTATGCCAGAGTTGGCTTCATACAGGGCAGGGTCAGCATGTTGCCTCTAATGAATCCTTTTAAGCTTTTTGAAGTTTGGCTCGAGAATCACGATTTAATTAGGGCGATTGCTAGAATCCCAACACTTTCTACAGATTGTTTAGCAATGGTTCGAATTTACAACGGCGTTGAACAAAAGTTGACATGACCATTTTCCACACTTACGACTATTGCAGCATCCCCATGGTCGCATGACCAACATTTAGAAAATTTGGCCACTGACTCAGATTTATGACGGTCGCATTGTCCTGGGGTCACATGATCTCCTTTTGCGACCTTCTGGCAAAGAAGTGGGGAAACCAGATTCACATAACTACCATGTTACTAACTTAAGAACTGCAGCGATTCACTTAACAACGGTGGCAAGGAAGGTCATCATGCAGGCCGCTTAGCAAACGTCTTGCTTAGCAACAGAAATGTTGGGCTCAATTGTAGTTGTAAGTCAAGGATTACTTTTCTCCTCGAAAAGATGAAGGATGGCCATCTTGGCATAGGTTTCTTACCATACTAGGGGATGATCAAAAGGATGGATATTGACCCAACCATCAGTCTCAGCTAGTGCCATCGCTCGATCGTTAGCATCATCCCAGACCTGCCAGGAATGAGAAACAGGGAAAACTTGAATGTTGTAGAAAGCAGCATTCAAATCATGGCAGTCCCTAAATCGCGTGTCCAACTACCAAGAAGAAACTTTGATTCTGCTGCTTCATATAAGGTAGGACTCAGCATCTTGATCTCAGCTTTACCAAGGGTTAGAAATTCTCTCTCTGTGTGTATATGTGTGTGTGTGTGTGTGTGAATGATATATATATATATATATATA